GGTATGGACTAGAAGCCCTTTTCTGGAAGTGTACTTCAAGGATAGCCAGCCTAGCCTGTCAGAAAACAGATGTTTTCACAGAGTTTCAACTTTTTGTGGCGCTGCAAACCTGCTGATGAGATAACCTGATTACTTAGGATGTTTTTGTCACTTTTTGTATTCAGATAGAAAAGACAGTTCTTAGTGCTCCCACAACAATTTTTCATGTGACTGAGAACACTTTCTGGGCCAGGATGAAAGGGAAAATTTGTATTCAAAAAAAAAACAAAAGTCATACCAAGAGCCTTACCTTTCTTCAAAAGGATCAAATATTAACACAGAGGGAGAAGCTAGAGAAGGGATTTACCTGAAACCAAGTAAAGTTAAAACAAACAAATAAAACCAAAAACAAACAAAACAAATGCAAAACCCACTCTAAAATAATTAGTGGAATGGGGAGCTGAGAGTGAGCATACTTGCCCAGTATCAACAGAACAGTGCTGGGAAGAAACATCTAGGCAGAACTGCTCAAGCCATAGGATAACATAAGCACAAGAACAAACCAGAAAGGGTGGAAACACATACAGAGTGGAAATTAGAAAGTTTATGAATTATTGCAAAAAAGACAACAAAATTAACTACTTATGATTCATCTTGAATGGCTATTTATTATTTTATTATTTAATTATTTCTAATTATTAATGGGAGTGCTAATGCTGCTGCTTGTGAAATCAAGAGACTGGACCAGAAGACAGGAGGTGCCAAGAACAAACGCCTTTCTGCAACTGATTGTTTCTATTTTAGATGAAGCTACTAGCCTTCCAAGCCCTAAGAACGGGCATTCTAGGTCAGACCAAAAATTCTATTTAAGCCTAGCATCCTATTGTCAATAAAAATGATAGGCAGATGCCTAGGCGAGAGGGAAAACAGGGCAAACATGTATGAACAGTTTCCCGATATTTTCCGGTTTCCAAACTCCTTAATTTTAGTTATTTTCTTTGGGGGTGGGAAGTTTACTGCCTCTCAGCATCTCGCCTGATAACGTCAGAACACGATAACCCTGCAAGTCTCAGTAG